GCGTCAGCTCCCATACATGGTCTAACGATTTTGCGGAGAACTGTGTTTTTGGTAAACAGTCGCCCGGGCCTAGTCACTGCGACCCCCTTTATGAGGAGGCACCCCTTCTCCCGAAGTTACAGGGCTATTTTGTCGAGTTCCTAGTGGAATTCAATCCTAACACATGAATGCAATTTGGTCAAAAGAATTGAACATTCCAAATCCTTCAAATTCCACAGGAAATCATAATAAGAACAACGTTCAAACTATGCACAAACAACTGTATATATCAGTTTATTTTGTGTTTTTCTAAGAAAGACAATTTCTTATCAATATATTCTTCTCCTTCTCTACAATTACTGACCCACTCGTTAGAACGTCACCTGTGCATAAGTTCATGTTCTAAGCCTCGAAATTGTCTTAACCACCCTCAGCAGACACCATAAACACACGGATGTAAATCTATTACCGTAAAATGGAAAAGGATCCTAAAAATTGAGATGATAAATACAGCATAAACAAATGAAACACACCCAGACGAAAGTTCTTGTATTCAGTGTTTTCAAGGCGGTTATTACGACGTTCAAAAATCAAATTGAAATCAGATAGGTATCTAGAAGAAAGTTATGAAAGTTACGGGTAAATTAAATAATCATTGCATTTCTTTTTAAATGATCAATGTTATTGCAACAGTATAATCATGAATCATACTATAAAACAAAAATGGACCAACGGATAGGATGTAATATAAATCATGATTGAAGATTCGAGTTGCCGACTTCAGAACCGAGATGTATCGTGTTGCTAAAACGACGAGCAAAAAATTCCAAAACGATATAACACGGGTCATAAATTTGAATTTTTTTTTAATTTGATATTTTCCATCAAGGGGGTGTTTGAGATTGCTTATTTGAAACAACTTATGTTTTTCTACAAAAACACTTATCAACTTATTATAAGTCAAAAGAGTTTAACTTTTTCAAAAACTGCTTATTACCGGTTTGGCATCGGTATAAGTTGTTTATCCAAACATTCAAAAGTGTTTATTACCGATATTACACCAGAATAAGTCAATAAGTTATTTTTATAAGCAATCCCGAACACACCCTAAATAAAGTTATCCAATTACAACAAATGTTACATAAGCAATAGGATGATTTTGAAAATTTTTGCCCCTTGGTAAAAAGTACAATTTTGGTGCCTAGCGTTTGCAACTTTAACGGATATCGTTCCTAAATTCTAATAAACTCAGATTTAGTCCCTCGCATTAGTCAATTCACAACTGATTTCGTCCCTCAGTCTAACGGTTGTTAACTTTTTTCGTTAAGTGTAGTTAAATGAACGGGGGCGGTCAGCCAGAGAAACGGGAAAAGCCGATGAGAGAATCAGTGATGGTTCTTGGAGGTGAGGTGTTTGTATATAATATATAATAATAATTTATTAAAAAAATGATATAAAATAAAAGAAAATTGTAAATGACCAAAATAGCCTTCATTTAAATAAACTTAATGGACGTTAGACTCGAGTTTTTAAAGTCTAAGAATATTATTTGCAAAATTAAAGGACCAAAATTAAATTAAATATATTTATATAATATTTATCATTGCAAGATTATATTAATTAAAAATAGTGTTGTCATATTTATTACAAATTTATGGCAATAACAATATATTATCA